ACCCTAATATCCCACAACTCAGCACCTGTGAATCAAAAGCTTGTGCCTGAAACTTAAAGACCTCTTAGAAGATTCCAAGAGACCCCAGAAGCAGCACCGCGCCTGGATCCTTGTGAATGCTCACGAGTAATAATGACTTCCTGTGCTGTCGGCCTTCATCTCTGGCTCCAGTCTTCATTTCTGAATCTTTGGAATTTCTGAGCGGTAGGTTGTCTTTGCTACGTATGGTGGACTTATTGCTGGCTTTATGCTAAGGCGATGACTCAGAATGGGGGCTGGCCAGGCTAGAAAGACCAACCAGGTGATTAGAGGTTGGGACTTTGAGCCAGGTGATATCAGCCAAACCTACAGAGAAGGGAGATGGAGACTGAGTTCAATCACATAGCCAGTGAATTAAGCAGTCACACCTATATAATGAAACCAAATAAAAATTATGGGACTGAGGCTCACGTGAGCTTCCTGGTTGTTGATACACATCAATGTACCAAGAGGATGGCGTATCCCGAAAGCACAGAAGCTTCACATTTGGGACCCTCCGGACTTGCCCCCTGTGTCTCTTCATTTGGCTGCTTGTGATGTGTATCCTTAACAGTAAAACTGTAATCATGAGTACCGTATTCTCCTGAGTTTCATGAATCTTTCTAGTGAATTACCGAAGCTCAGGGGCCAGTGAGAACCCACAAATGTGTAGTCAGTGGGTCAGAGTGAAGGTGGCCTGGGAGCCCAGAGCTTGTAGCTGTGTCTGCCGTGAGGCAGTCGTATGCATATGCACTCACCCCTGTAGTTAGTGTCAGCATGGCATCGCAGCTATGCCTCCAACTAACTTATTTGCAAACAGAGGAGCCACAATTTTCTAACCCAAATTGATGACTAGTTGTGTGGGGAGGGGAGCTGGTGACAACATTAAAGATCCAAAAGATAGACATTTGGGCTTGGGGTGTGTGAGGAAAAATTCTGAGATAGTCCCCAGCATGGCTGTCCTCTGGTGTCCACACTCAGTATACTCTTCTCCCCCTGAGCATGAGGCCCACTGTGAGCATGAGGAGCTTCACTCCTGTGATCAGGTTACGATGCACAACATCACAATCCAGCTGGTGAGACCCTGAGCAGAGAGCAAGCCAAGGCCAAACTCCAGGAGGTGACAGGTGGGTATGCTTCCGGCCACCAAGTTTGCGATCATTCGTTATGCAGCACCAGGAAGCTAGTACACATGGAAACCTGTACTGGTTGAGGAAGCAGGAGGACGTAACACCAGCTCTGCCAGGCACACAGGGGTGGTTTGAGAGAAGAGCGATCAGAAGGTAGGAGAGGCGAACAACCAGAATTTTTCATGACATGAAACCAGATTCTCAGGTGGGAACCTAAAGGAACGCTTGGGTTGGAGAGATGATATTTAGCCTCAAAAGAAGCAGCTTGATTTCTGTCTTCAAACGGGAAGGGCTGTTTTATGTCAGAGGTATTAAACATGCCCAAGTGACTGGAAGCACAATAAGATGGATATGCTCTCAAATTGATGCATATTATCTCAACAAAATGCCTAGAAAATAGAAAAGGCTGCCTTTATTATTGGCACTCCTAATTCATTCCAAATTCCTAATGAATTCCAAGTATACAAATGTAATTGACTTACATTAGAAATAAGAGAAGAAATCAGGACAAGCAAATGGAGACTAGAAAATGAGTAGATGAAGAACTGTCAACCACAGGCATTGGGTTGGAATAAAATCTCCCCCAGCCCATAGTTACTGTAACTTTATGTTTAAATGTCACTTCAAAGAGCCAGGACAACATTATCCAATGGATGCTAGGAGGTGGGGTTGAATTGAGATGGCATTGGGTCACAAACAAAGTGACACCCAAATTCGGCTCTCCTCTCAAGTTTCTCAAAGGAAAACAATAAACTGAGGGATAAGGGTCTCGGGCTGTACCCCAAACCTCAGGCTCAAATACTCTCTTTACTTAAGTGGAGTTTTCTGATGCCAAAGCACTCTAAAGACCCACTCTGATCATTTCACCCCCAAACAAAAGCCCAAGTAAGGAACCCAAAGCCATGAGGGAGCTGACCTAGGCCACCCACTCCAGGCCTATTGCACCCAGGGAGAGCCAACAGCTTCGACCGCCTCCTGAGGGGAGCCTTGACTGTCACCACAGTTCTCTTCGCCCCTCTGCAGGATTAGCCTCCATTTCCTGACTTCCACTGCATCATCTTTCTTGCATGATTTGCTCCTTTAGTTGGAGCACATCCTTTCATCGCTTTCTGAGAAAAGGCAACAGAAGTCCATTGAAGCATCTATCTTATATAAAAACTGCTGTTTGAAATTTTAACCCTGCTATTTTGGCTTCTGTAAACGCTTGCTGAATTAAATAATAGGGAAAATAAGACTATTCCCATTCCAGAGAGGCCATAAACTCTGCCCCAGACAGAGTTGTCAGTGCTGGCGCCAGGCCTTGAGTTATGGTGTCATGGCCCCTCCCAGCACTCAGGCCTTCTTTCTCAGAAGGCCCAGAAGTCTCATTCCAAATTTGGGAGACAAAGGACTGGAAAAAGTATAAATAGAGAAGTTTCCTCCATGTTGGGGGGCCCAGAACTTGAAAGACACATTTTTCTCTGGGCCTGCGCATAATTAAAGTGTAACTCCCTTTCTCTAAGCATGGCTTGGTTTCTTCTCCGGTCTTCTGTAACACAGTTTAAAGCTTGGCTGGCTGAAATAGCCTCTGTCTTTCTTCTTCCTTGACTGACGTTTTATTGAGTAGAGAATTCTAAGATGGGACATTTTTCCCAGAATGTGACAGCATTGTCTAATGCTTTCCTATCCTGCTCTTGAGAAGCCTGAAGGCGTTCTGGTTACTGGGCCACTGTACGTGGTCTGTTTTCCCTCTACGCTTTAGTGTGGGGTTTCTTACTCCTGGCCCTCGATGCCTTCTCAGCAGGCCCTTTCAGTTCTAAAACCTTCCTTATATCATTTCTGTTAGTTCCGTTTTCTCCTCCCCCACACACGGGCTGGGTGTGGCCACCTCAGAGGCGATGGCAAATGCAGTGAGCAGCAGGCCTTCATTCCTGTGTACTGAGCCCTACCCAGGGCATCATGGGAGGGAGCACCGCTTTCCCAGCTGTGGTTCAGGGAGTCAGGGCCTCATTTCCAGCACTGCCTGCATAGAATAAAGCAGGCCAGCCCCTTACCCCAAACCACCCAAAGCCGGTGGGAAAGCAACAGCTCTGCAGTACTCAGAACCGTCCTCCCACCTCAGAGCCCAGCTGGCCATGCAGCCAGAACTTACCGACTCCACTGCTGCTCTGCTCCAATCCGACTATTGAGCCTGTCCGCTGCACCCCCTCCCTGTAAGCTAGACTGTACCCCTGTGTATACTTCTCACCCAACGTCTTTCTAAATGATCCCCTCTCCTCTGCGTTCTCTGTTCTTTCCTTCTGAAACTTGTTTGCTGGACATGGGACTGCATGGATTGATTATCTAATTTCACCTTTTTCTGGTTTCTCATCTCTGTGTTGTTTTATTTTTATACTTCTGTCTGGGGGATTTCTGAAACTTTATCTCCCAGTACTTCTGTGGAATTTTTAAATCCCTCCAATCACACTTTTTAAAATATATTTTTAGTGATTTCACAGAGGAAAAAAGAAAGACAGAAACATCAAGGATGAGAGAGAATCATTGATCGACTGCCTCCTGCACGCCCCACACTGGGGATCGAGCCCGTACCAGGGCATGTGTCCTGACCGGGAATCGAACCGTGACCTCCTGGTTCATAGGTCAATGCTCAACCACTGAGCCACCCCAGCTGGGTCCTGCAGTCATATTATTAATCCGTGCCTTTTCTTTTACATAGCAGCCTCCTCTTGTCTGGGAAAAGCAATCTTTATCTAATTGTTGTGGTGTTTGGAGTAGTCTTCTGCTATCCATGTGTATTTTTGCACCCTTCACTTTTCCTGTGGTTTTCGTTTGCTCTTGTTTGGAATTTTTGCTATAGTTTTTGTCTCTTGTTCACATTAGCAGTATTCCTCAAACACCTGGTAGCTTTCAACCTCCCATAATCCAGCCCGAGGTGCTCAGAAGCTGGGTGGAAGCCTGGCATGGAAGGGCAAAGCTGGCCATCTGGGCAGTGACAGGATCCCACCAGCTTTCTCTTCACTGAAGAGGAAGGTGTTGGCTTTTCATTGCATATGGCACATCAGAACTGCTACCCCAAAGACGCTGCTCACTGCACTTCCCGCCCTGGCTGAGTGTCTGGCTGCCTCCACTGTGCTGGGAGGAGCTGTCTGGGCCCCTCTCTCTGGGCCACTGCAAGGCTGCTGCCAGTGCACACGCACCATGACAAAGGTGCCTGCCCGCAGGCCTCCCCGTGGCTGAGCTCTCCAGCTGAGCTCTCCAGCGTGGAAACGGGACTCGGATTCCTGCACACCCTGCCCTCTCTCCGTGCTGCTCTCTCTGACTCTCCCATTCCAGCCTGGGAGCCATTTCACACGTGGCAAACGCCACCAGGAGAGCTGAGCCGCCTGGAGCAGCACAGAAACCTCCAGATGGGCATCCTCAGAGGCTCCTGTCTGGCAGCAAAGCCTGGTGCTGGCCACGGCTGGCCCTCGCCTTGCCGTCGGAATTTACCTTTGTTCGCAAAGACGACGTGGTTTCCAGGGAGACCGGGCACCGGCGTTCCCTGTGGAACTAGGAGCGGCGGGAAGCAGAGGGAGGACCGGAGATGCTGCTGGTCCTGCTGGGCTGCCTCCTGCCCGCCCCCGGC